ATTGTTCGTGATGTTCCCCGATCTTTCTAGAACTCATTACGTGTTAGTAAGTCACGTGACTTCCGCTGTCGTAACAGTATGAAGGTTCATTAGGTCCATGGGGAGATGTATACAAATTTTCAGTTTTTCATTTTGCGTTTTTTATGGGCGTTTTTACAATTACATATAAAGGAAGCAACTTTTCATGTCCTAAGATAACCTTTCAGTAATCATGAATTTACATAACTTCTGTCCAGAGATACGGTACTCAGCTAATTCAAAACAAAGTAGGAACATGAAACCAGTTTGTATAAATCAATAATTTGAAGCTAGCCATTTATTACTTCTACAACAATGGTTTGTTTTCGCAAGCTCACGCAATTTGAATTTTTAGTTTTATAATAATCTGACATGTATTACACAACGAATAAAATAACTCTAGCTATATTTTAATACAAGTTCAAGATTATTCGAGTTTGCGTTTCACAACTTAAGCTATATGAGTATTGCATTGTGGTTTTTATGCGAGAATTGTTTAAAGTAAAAACAAACTAATAAAACTAAAAATTAAATCAAAAACTTCATAAAGTTATTAATATTTGTGGCTTTGTTCGTTTGTAGTCAAGCGCAAAGCTACACAATTGGCTATCTGTGCTGTGCCCAACACGGTTATCGAAACCCGGTTTTTAGCGTTATGAGCCTTCAGACTTACATTTGAGTTAATTGGGGACAATATTTATAATATAACAATTAACTGTAGAATACTTATGTATAGTTGTTAACCTTGTCGAACTTGGACTGATTTCCAACCTAATTCTCCAATGAGAATAACTGAATTATAATTTACAATAGGATGATCTAATGTATATTTATTATTATGTGGCTCCTAACGTGATTTGTTTATTTGAAGTTAAACACAAAGCTACACCACGGGTATCGAAACCCGGTTTCTAGCATTGTAAGTCCGCAGACATGCCGCTCTGCCACTGGGGGCCTCTTGACATGATCAATTCTTAAATAAATTATTACATATAGTTTGGATAAATTCACCTAACAAACTATGTTATAACTTATAACAATGTTTTTCTTGTCCTTCTGTGATCAATTCTTAAATAAATTATTACATATAGTTTGGATAAATTCACCTTATAAACTATGTTATAATTTATAACAATGTTTTTCTTGTCATTCTGTGATCGATTCTTAAATAAATTATTACATATAGTTTGGATAAATTCACCTAACAAACTATGTTATAATTTATAACAATGTTTTTCTTGTCCTTCTGTGATCAATTCTTAAATAAATTATTACATAGTTTGGATAAATTCACCTAACAAACTATGTTATAATTTATAACAATGTTTTTCTTGTCCTTCTGTGATCGATTCTTAAATAAATTATTACATATAGTTTGGATAAATTCACCTAACAAACT